CTTGGCCCCACGAGAAGGGCACGTTCTTTTTGAGAAGATCAGTTAGTGGTCGTGCAATTGTAGCGAAATCGCGTATAAAGCGGCGGAAGTACGAGCATAAGCCCACAAAACTCCGAACATCTTTGGTTGAAGAAGGCAGAGGGAAATTCTTGACAGCGCTAATCTTGTCAGGGTCAGGTCGGACGCCAGCAGCACTTACAAGATGACCAAGGATCGTGATTTGTTGTCGGCCGAAATTGCACTTTTTCGAGTTCAGCTGGAGTCCTGCTCGACGAAAAACGGCTAAAATGGTCGACAAACGAGTTAAGTGAGTTTCAAATGTTGGGGAAAAAACAATCACATCGTCGAGGTAGCAAAGACAGATGGACCATTTATAACCACGAAGAAGAGAGTCCATCATGCGTTCGAACGTTGCCGGGGCGTTGCACAGCCCAAAAGGCATAACCTTGAACTGATAAAGGCCGTCCGGTGTGATGAAGGCAGTCTTTTCTCGGTCTAAGTCGTCGACAGAAATTTGCCAGTAGCCCGAACGCAGATCAATAGATGAGAAGTATCGCGCGCCATGAAGGCAATCAAGGGCGTCGTCGATTCGTGGCAGCGGATATACGTCTTTGCGGGTTATCTTGTTCAAGGCACGGTAGTCAACGCAAAATCTCCAGCTGCCATCCTTCTTTTTCACTAAAACAACAGGTGACGCCCATGGACTTGAAGAGGCCTCTATGACTCCTTTGGAGAGCATTTTCTCGACTTCTCGTTGTATGACCTGGCGTTCGGACTGGGAAACACGATACGGTCGCCGTCTAACAGGATTAGCATCGCCGGTATGTATTTGATGACGCACGAAGGACGTTTGCCCTAAAGGGCGGTCATCGAAGTCGAAAATATCTCGGTAGGTAGTCAGAACGTGGTGAAGTTGCGCCAACTGACAGGGCAGAAGATCAGGGGCGATCATCATCCTGATTTCGTCGCTAGGTGCGTTTGCTCGGCTGGCTGCAGTAGGGGACGAACAGTCTTCAGGGTCCAATGCCACGATGCTACATGCATCAAGTGGGGAAACGTGGGCTAACGAAATGCCTTGCGGGAGAACTTGGGTCGAACTACTGAAGTTAAGGAGCGGAAGCTGAACGTAGTTGTCCACAATAGTCACGATTGTATGCGGCACAGCAACACTTCGAGCCAAGAGCACATCCACCAATGGAGACACTATGTAGTCACCGTCAGGAAGAGCTGGTGATATCGTTAAGGCAACACACGTGGTGGCTTGCGGTGACAGCCGAACATAATCAACAGCGCACAAGCGGTGTGACGGTGAGGACGGCACAGGTCCAAGTCGAGGCAGTTCAAGTTGAAGAACGCCGGTTGCACAGTCGATGAGAGCAGCATGGGTGGACAAGAAATCTAAACCAAGAATTAGGTCATTTGGGCACTGCTCAATAACTGCAAAGAGAACAGATGTGGGGTGATCGGCGATAGTGATGCGTGCTGTGCACATTCCTGTGATGGCAAGACTTCTTCCGTCGGCGACACGAATAACGCCAGGGGCAGCCGGTGTGAGCACTTTCTTCAGGCGGCGACGAAGTCGGGCACTCATCACAGAAATATGCGCCCCAGTGTCAACAAGTGCAGAAACAGTCAGGCCGTCAACGTCGACGTCGATCAAATTTCGTCGTGTCGGCAGTACAAGGAGAGGATTTGAGGTCGGTACCGAGGATGCAGCTTCACCTCCAAGAGCTGCACCGCTTAGTTTCCCTGGTGAGAATTGAGCGGGGAGGTCGGGCGTCGTCGTAGAGGAGAAGGGGACGACGGGCGACGTCCTGGCGGCGAACGAGACTGGTGACGTCGAGGCGACGGTGAGCGGCTGTGCTGCGTTTCAGGGGCATCGCAGGCGTAGGAATCGACGGGCAGAGGCCGGCGGTAGTTGTCGGCGATCGGCTCAGGAGGTTGGAAACGACGGTAGCTATCGGTGCGGCGAGCAGTGTTATACTGGTTTCGGGACGAAGACCAATGGTTGTGGCAATACCGTGCGACGTGACCTATGCGGCGGCAGTTAAAGCAGATCGGCCGATCATCCGCAGTTCTCCATTCGGCCGGATTGCGAGAGCGTGGATAAGACCTTTCTTGGGGTGGTGACCTGGGGCGAGGCGGCGACCTTGAACGGAAGCCAATTGGTCGAGACTGAGCAACGGCGCAGACATCGAAGCCCAAATTGCTCAGTTCTTCCCGCACAATCGACTGTACCAAGCAAACCTGAGGTACTTGCAAATCGACGTGGCCGTTGGCGGGAAGAGTAGGTGTAATTGCTTCGATTTCCCGCCGGACAATTCGCGTAATTTCAGACGCTGGTGAAGACTGCCGATGGGAGGACAGTCCATCTTCGCAGGAGGACGTCGCTGCGGTGTTCGGCAGTCGAGTAAATGATCTTGAAATCCGCCTGCTTTTGGCCAGTTCAAAACGCCGGCATTCCTCAATAATTTCGTCGACGGTCGCACAGTTCCGGCACATTAGCAGGTTGAACGCGTCGTCCGCTATGCCCTTGAGGACGTGGCCAACCTTGTCAGACTCCGACATGTCGTTGTCAACTTTACGACATAGAGCCAGCACGTCCTGTATATATGAGATATACGGCTCTGTGGACGTCTGAGCACGTATAGACAACTCCTTCTTTGCAGCCGCCTTTCGACCGATGGGCTTCCCAAATAAGTCGCGAAGCTTTTCCTTGAAGGTGTCCCAACTGCCGATCTCCTCCTCATGGTTCTCGTACCAGACTTTGGCCGTGCCTTTCAGGTAAAACAGCACATTGGCCAGCATAAGAGTCGGATCATACCGGTTGAGAGCACTGGTGCGTTCGTAGTCGGCTATCCAGTCGTCGACATCAACTTGGTCCGTACCGCAGAACGTTCCAGGATGCTTCGGATGCGTCAGCACGTACGTGGGTGGGGGTGGGGCCAGTGGAGGCGTTGCCGTGGATGGTGCGGGCGTCGCCGAAGCCGATGGAGAGGTGGCCGTGGGATCAGTCCCGTGTTCCATCACGGAAACTCCGATTTGACGACCACTGCGGAGCTCCGTTGTATGGCGCTTCGTTACCCAGCACTCCCACCAATTTGTTACGGGGCTCGCAAACACACGGAAGAGAGGAATGAGCGTATTTCCTATATTTACATGCCAAAGTGACGCTTCAGAGCTGCCAGTCTCTCGCGCGGCGAGTCCACTTCTTTTTTATCGAACTGTTGTCCACGACGGTAGAGCCATGCCCACTGCCTCGTAATAATATATATATATATATATATATATATATATATATATATATATATATATATATATATATATATATATATATATATATATATATATATATATATATATATATATATATACGAAAAATGCATCGTAGAGCATGGGGTGTCGGCAGGGTGTTTAGGGTCGAAGCTCCTGAGGATGTTGGCTTGTCCGCCGTTGTTCATCGTAACCACCCCTAGTACTCGAAGTGCTCACCAGATTACGCTGCGACGTTTGCTCCCATCACCAGCTCATTCACGCGGCAGCAACTCGAGAGTGGTAGGCCCCATCATTTTTTTTTTTTTTTTGCCGTGATTCGCCAGCTGGGTACACGGCACGCGTTCCTCAGGCTTTCTGCCGCGGAAATGCACAGGGACAGGGTCCTCGAAACTCTGCAACGGCCGCGAGCGGCATTCACTGTTTACCGATGTACCACCGGAGCTTCGCCCACTCATGAACATTCACTCAGTAAATATGCTATAATTTTTTTAACTGGGTAGAAACCCATGTAGCACCTTGCTTTGGTAGGAGTGAGAAGCTGGTATAGCTTATGGGGGGACAAGTTTTGGAGTGGCTTGAGGGAACAAGTGCCCCTTTGCACCTCCCTGCCGACGCCAGTGTCGTAGAACATAATGAGAGCATATCTGCTGCACAAGCCAGATAGCTTATCATGATCCTCATCGTCATCATCTTCATCGTCGTGAGCGTCATCGTGGTGACGTATGGTGGGTGTGCTTTGCCGTGTTGGCAGAAAGAGAATGTGTGGTGAGGAACGCGCTTTTCTCATCATAGTCATCGTCAGCGGTGACTATGGTGGAGGCGAAAATTCTGCATACCCGTGTGCTCAGATGTGGCCGGGTGCGCGTTAAAAACCCGAGAGGTCAAAATTTCCGGAGCCCTCCACTACGGCGTCCCTCATAATCATATGGTGGTTTTGGGACGTTAAACCCCACATATCAATCAATCAATCAATCAATCAGTGATGGCTACGGCGCACAATGACGCCAACGGACAAGCCTCTAAAACTGCATGTTTGGATTCCAAGATTTAAACATCCGGGACGGCTCGCTGCACCCCCATAGTAGAGTGCCGCTCTGAAGCTGAATCTGAGCTGTCAACCATTATTCCGAGAACTATATTTTGCGCGTGCAGGACCGGGATAACGGGATAACGATCTGTCATAGTAGAGTACAATTACGTTAGCCCGAATTGTCAATCATTTTTTCGAATATGCACCTAACCACCTTAACTAAAGGACAGCTTACTACTCTCCGACCACCCTAGTCACACAGTGGGGGGGGGGGGGGGGTGTTACTGCGATTAGCTGGACGACGCTGTGTGATGAAGAAGACACCTCGCGACGTGACGCCATCTGAAGTGTTTGTGCCGTCATGATGACGACATACGAAGAAGCTGGCGATGATCTCATTGCATCACTCGCGTTCACGCTGACACCGCCGAGGATCACCTTTCAAGTTTGATGAGGAATCTGAGGCTTCCTCCCTAATAATCGAAGCGCTGAGAAGCATCGGTATCTCGTCGTGCAGTGCAGCGCTGCGTACACTTCCCTCTCCTCCAACCAATCATTCGGTCTACCCGTTCACCCAAGAGCAGTGGGAAAGCACCCTTTGCGACCCACATCATCACCATCGATTGTGTGCGTCGAAGCAGTCGTGCTCATGGTTACCTATTGAAGTCCATTAACCCCTGCTTACTCTTCGCAGGCCACGGTCAACTTGATTGCCGGCCAGCTGCGGCTAAGTCCGCGCGCCATCTCGGTTCCGGACAGCTGCGCCACGCCGTCTCTGGCGCCACACTGGGTCGGTGCAACGACGCCCCCGCAGCCGTCGTCGCCCGCGGACGCCTACGAGATGCCACCCCGGACGCCGGACGCTGCGCCGGTTCAACGGCCACGGCCCTTGGCGCCGTCGACGACGTATCCGGGGGCGGCTCCCTAAGTCGCCTCTCGACTACGCCATCGTGTACACACTCTGGTCTAGCTCTGCGGACCGTTTCACTCTCCGTTGCGTATAAGCTCGTACGCTAATGAACTGAGCAGAGAGATGTAACGAGACGACCTTATGTTGCAGCATTTCGTTTCTGCGCATTAAAAAATGAAAGACAATCTGAATATCGCCTGTCACGTACAGCTTACTGCGCTCAGACATGTAGGTACAACTGGGTTGACATATACCTGGCTTTCATTTTCTTGATCTCTCTCTCTCAAACCCTAGCTGCAGCGTGTTGTCACGTTATGACGACGAGTCCTGAATTTATAGCGTGCTCCTTTACTATTCAAGGCTCAAGCCAGTGGTTATTGCAAGCAAATCCACATTTTCTTGTTTCCCCCTCTTTTCTGGAAACCTTGTTAATCCACGCGAGCTCTTTACCACGTTACGCTGTTGCTCTGAGTTACTGAAGGACAGAGACATGGAAAAAATGAAATGTACTCAGGTCTCACCTATGAACAGTATACACGAGCACTTGGTGGAGTGATATGGAATAATTTAATAAGCAATGTCGCTTGAGCCACTATTTAATACAAAGCATCTTCTACCAGCGTACTGTACAGTTGGTGGTATTTGCAGAGGGCGCAATGCCCTTCTATATTTAGTATGATACCCGTGTCTATTATGAAAAACGATAAGTGCTACTTTGCTCTGTTTCGAAGTTGTCGGCAATTGGACAGACACATAACTTTGTTGTATCAAAAGCCTAGAGGGCATCCTTTAATACGCGATATTGACGAATTGAACATGTAAACGTTCGACACCTCCATGTCGAAATATACGCGCGATGCTTGTGGACGTGTATAAACAGTGTTTGTTTTAAATGCTTGTTACTAACGGCAGCTAACAAACGAATGCGAGTAGTTTAGTGCTACATATTGTTTCACTTGTTTAGGCACTGTTAGAGCAACATTACACAAGACTGCATGCTTCTCGTTATTGTGCAGATCACATTTGTCGTTATCGTGCAGCACGTAGCCGATTTGCCCCTGACCTGTTTTTCTGCTTTTTTTTTTTACTCTTGCTGACACCCCAGAACAAATGAAATTACGAATAAAGATTACTGGCCGCAATCGTCACAGGGGCTTCGTGAATCTTTTGTGAATATTTCTGTACATACACATACTCACAAGTGCACATAGAACGTAACCGATTTGCCCCTGACCTGTTTTCCTGCTTTTTTTTTTACTTTTGCTGACACCCCAGAACTTATAAATTACGAAGAAATACTACTGACCGCAATCGTGACAGAGGCTTCTGTGAATCTTCTGTGAATATTTCTGTACATACATATAGCACTCACACGTGCACACAGGAACACACATATGTAAATGCATGTGATTTACGTTCACAAATCATCAGGCAACTATACTTTGTATATAGACTACTTTACGGAAGGGTTTCGGCACCGCCTTATTGGCTATTAACATTGCCGCTTAGTATCTTTGACAACGGAATGGGCACTGCTGCGGTAAATGCGCATGCATTAAAACGGCTGTGATAGTGCATGCGACGCTTGATGACCTAGCTTGTTATAGTTTAAGGTCACCACATACAAAAACAAAACAAAAAAGCTCGTACGACATCAGTCTCAAGCACTGACATGGCTCTGCCTCGCGGAAGTCTTGGGTTTGATTCCCACTCGAGTAATACATTTCCGATTATTCTTTTACTTGCGTCTATGTCAAATTTTCGCTAACAAACTACGCTGATTTTTTTCGCTCGCAACCAACACCAATACCAGAATTGCTGCGAAACGAGCACTTCATGGCTATCCGCGTTGCACATTAGGCTCTTAAGCAGCCCTAGACGGTAACTCTCCATTGCAGGCAGCAAAATCATCTGTACTGGCGCCATGTGAAGCTCGTTACGGGCTGGACGTACGGACCGGAAACTACGGTACACCCACGCGCAGTCTCCCAGCCTTGAATGAAACTCCTCGCAGCCAACCACGCGTCGCATCTTCTGCGCATAAGAGGAGGAGGAGGAAGACTGCCTTGCAGTGGACAGGATCTCGTCATCTCCAGAGCCGACACACACATACACTCGAGGCACACACAGCGCATAGCACCGGCGGTGACTCATGCCCGCATCAGGGCCATACCACACTCGCAAGCGCGTAGTAGAACGAGAGCGGGCAAACCCACGCCAGGAGGCCGGCCAAGGCGGCGAAGGCGACGAGTTTACGCGACGATAAAGGCAATAACAACAGCAGCAGCGAAGCCAGCAGGGGTCGACGGCGAGCCGCCCCCGTTCGTCTGGGTCCGGCCACGTCCTTGCAGTAGTACGGAGTACGCGTGTCCGCCCACGGATCAACCGTTAGCATCTGAAGGAGAAGTGGCTGGGGACCAGTTTCCCGCGCTGCCCAGATGCATCGAACAAGCTACGCAACCACCGCCAACAAGAAGAGGGGCCGAAGGTGGTATAGTTTGGGCGTACTGCTAGTTTCCTTCCCAGGTCCTTATGGGAACGTGTGTCGGCGCGTCGCGTTTGTTTTCGCGAATATGAGGATGCGGTTTAACTGCACTGACCGCAGCTCAACTTGTGAAACGGTTCGTCTCGTCTTGTACGGCCGAGCACTGCGCTGGTATTTTATGCAGCCCATACACTTCAGGTCCCCTTTGACTCTTCCTTGCAACACTTGCGACTCTTCCATGTATAACTCTCTTCCGAGAGTCGTGATGATTCTCTTTTAGGTTAGTCGTGGGATGCACAATACTCCAAAAGGGGGTTAGCATGTCTTAAATAAAGAGAGCCATGCTCGGGAAAGTCACACCTGCAGCAAAGAAGAGTCGATTGGCACCTTCGAAAAAAAAAGTGTACGCATAACACAGGCTATACGGTCGGGGTGTCCGAAACAACCTCGTAATTTTTACATTTGCGTGTGCAACCGCGCCCACGTGATGCCTAGGAACGTAAACACGCACATTAACAGGCATGTGTCGAACCCTCCCCCTTTTTTTCCAACGACGTTAAATCTTAGGTAATTGACAGGTTCATGCAACATAGATATAATCCTAAACGAGAGAATACGAAGAAAAGAAGAAGACAGAGAGACTTTTTATTAGGAAAAAAAACAGAATAAGAAGAGTCAGAATATAGTTTCGGTTTCGCCATCCACATACCAGATTTTGTCTAGTTAGTACGTTCCTATTTATGATTCCGTGAGCACGGTGGGCTGGGGGTTGTAGAGGGTGAGAGGGGGGAGGGCGCAACGCAAGCCCCATGCATTGACATTATAGGGAGGGGCGTGAGAGAGAGGCACAATGTCAGCCTCATACATTCACATGATAGGGAAGGGGGGGGGGGCGCTGCGACAAAGGTTTGCCCCCCTGAAAGGAAATCCGGAGCACGCATATGTCGGTGTTCTTTTTTTTTTTGCAGCCAATATTTTTGCATTTTCGCATTCTTCCACATGCAAGCTATAAGCAGCCATTACGTCAGCATTGTACATATGCTCAAGGATGACCATGGCAGCGTGTTTGTATACAAAATTAGATCATTTGTAACAAAATTGCAGATACGTAGCTAAAAGAAGTCCAGAAAAGGCTGTTCGGTTTCCGGGGATTTTACACTCAATATAGCGGAGCGCAGCCAAGCATCGGTACTTCAATGAATAAGACAATATGTATGCGACACATGAGCTATGGCAGAGGAAGTCGAGGAGAAAGAAGCACGCTTGAATGGAATAAATAAATTTATCCCTAGCATATACGAGAAGTGTTACGAGGAAACACTTAAAAAAATTCACCTAACACTCGACCATGAGAAGAAGAAGAAGAAGAAGAAGAAGAAGAAGAAGAAGAAGAAGAAGAAGAAGAAGAAGAAGAAGAAGAAGAAGAAGAAGAAGAAGAAGAAGAAGAAGAAGAAGAAGAAGAAGAAGAAGAAGAAGAAGAAGAAGAAGAAGAAGAAGAAGAAGAAGAAGAAGAAGAAGAACCACTGGCAACTACGGCACGTATCATTAAGTCATCTCCGCTCGTTAAACGAAGGGTCGGGAAGTTACAAACGCATCACAAATAAGAATTTGTAATGACACCACGCGCAAAACAGTTTTGTCGTGATGAAAGGTGGCCCCATTGCTGGGAGTTGGACAGAGGCCAGCTCTCCGATTAGGACACTGAAACTGGAATATGTAAGATTTTGAATTCCCCAAGGACGGGTGTTACCTACTAAATTCCGCCGACATACAATTCACGTAAATCAGTACAAGAAGATCATACTTTGGAAAAGTTGATTGATTGATTAGGTGACTGAATAATTAACTCATCATTTGATTGGTTGATTCATTTATTCCTCTCTCTTTGTAGTGCGAATGATACCAGAGATTATGCATAGTTATAACACATAAACCCGGATTTAACAAAGTCAGTGAAATGAACTTTCTAGTGAAAAGAGAACTTTTTCTTGTATCACGGTTTGTTATTTCTTTTCGTCGATTAGTTAGTTAGTCAGTTAGTCAGTCAGTCAGTCAGTCAGTCAGTCAGTCAGTCAGTCAGTCAGTCAGTCAGTCAGTCAGTCAGTCAGTCAGTCAGTCAGTCAGTCAGTCAGTCAGTTAGTTAGTTAGTTAGTTAGTTAGGTAGTTAGTTAGTTAGTTAGTTAGTTAGTTAGTCAGTTAGTTCACAGCAGCCAATACATAACAGGACATCTGAATTAATTATTTCGTTAAACTGAGTACATCGTTGAACATATTGGAGCACAGGGTTCCCTTTCAAAGAGTGCGATGATTTGTGTCTGCACCACCCCCCTCTCTATTATATCAATGTATGGGGTTGACTTTGCGCCCCCTCTTCGTTGACTAAGAGGCGACGCCCCCTCCCCCTCCCCCCTGCCCCCTTCGGGCGCATGTCTATATTGCTGAATCTACAATACTTAAAATAACGCAAGAGCAAGACATGGGTGCTTGAACTGCTTGGCTTCCTTGCATGCCTGCCATGATTCTATTTAAACCT